ATAACGACCCGGTCCTCCAGGAATTATTATATAGCTCAGTGGCTTTGACTGCTGCCCTTAATTGAATAAGTTTATAAAATTAACTGAATTGAGTAATTCTACCTCCTTGTCATAACCTGTCACAAGGGGTCACATGGAGATCACGTGAGATAGCCAACCTTCAGTTCGTGAGACCTTCCGCAGTCGAACGGCGCAAACAATTTTGCCCTTTACTTACAAATAATTTTTTGGGGAAAACGACGTTTTTCTCCGTATTTAGATTGTTACGAAATACATTATCTGTCGAAATACCTTATCTAAGGGCGCAGATATAACGAAATATCCAGGAAAGGGGAGAAATCTCTCAAGGATATCAGTAGTGGTCCCATGAATATGGATGAACCACAACAAGAAGTCCAAGACATATTAAGCGAAAACGAGGAGTCTAGGCTACTAGACGATGAAGACTCGAGAGAGGTTTCTAATGCCACTTTAAAGGCTATACGAGGCATGGAAAATTCCATGACGAACTCGTTACAAAGCCTTGCAAAAACGTTACAATCCAGCCTTGCTTCGTTACAAAGCAATTTGGCGCCAACGCGGCCTCGAAAACGACAAGCAAGTCCTTCGTCCTCAGACGACAATAGCTCGTCTGAAAGCTCCGAAAAACAGGCCCTAGAGCCAAATAACAAGAAGAGTCGTGAAAATCCGGCTGATGAACTTGATGACGCGGTCAATGCGCTTTTGAATAAGTCAACCGATCAATCGGTAGTCGCCGAAAAGACGGCGGCTGGTGGCGACGCCATTTTGACAGGCATTGCCAACGATTTTGACCTGATCGATCAGTGTGGTGAAGACATCCCCACACAGCTTGCTGAACTTGTAGAAAAAATTCTACAATCAAAAATGACCGAAGAAAAATTAAAAGAGAAGCAGCAAAAATATCTTCGGCCGAAAAATTGTGGCAAAATTATCCCTACAAGAGTAAACGCTGCAATCTGGTCACGGTTGCAAAGCGAGACACGATCTCGCGATATAAAGATGCAGAAAGTTCAAATGCTATTGCTTAAAGCTCTAATTGCTCAAAGTCGAGTGACTGAGAGTCTTCTTAATCTAAAGGATTCGACTCCCATAGCATCTAAAGCGCGCAGCGACACAGCTGATGCAGCTGTTATTCAGTCCATGGATGCCATTGCATTCGTAGTCCAAGCCAATCATGAGCTAAATCAACGGCGCCGGGAATTAATCAGGCCTGACCTAAATGAACAGTACCGGCAATTGTGTGCAGAACATGTCCCATGCACCACAGAATTATTTGGTGATGACTTACCTAAAACACTACAAGATATATCAACTACAAACAGGGTTGGTCAGAAATTAGCTGGCAAAGGCCAGCGAAATTATGGTCCTAAATCATATAAAGGATCATCACATTCTCGGGACTATTCATACCAACACTCAAAAAACGAGCGTGGGAAGTATCGCCCCCAGAGCTTCCAGAGGAAAAGAAGAGGGGGGAAGAACCAATCACAGGCGCACTGAAAGAGACAGGGCATTGTACAAATCAGGTGAGTACATGTCCTAACACTGTAGTAGTGTGTGACAATATTGCAGGTCGCCTGGCTAAGTATATTAATGCCTGGTGTAAAATCACCAGTGATAGATGGCTACTTAATGCCATACAAGGGGTAAACATTGAGTTTTCCGCTAATCCAGAACAACTTGTTGCCCCAAGACAGTTTGATACTAGTCCCTCTGATGATGAAGCTATTGACTTTGAAATCCAACGCTTATTAAGAAAGGGCGTCATTGTCCCTTCGCTTCATGAACCAGAAGAGTTCCTTTCAACTATTTTTGTTAGGCCCAAAAAGGATGGCACTTTCAGGTTAATTTTAAACCTCAAAAAACTAAATGAGTTTGTAACTTACCACCATTTCAAAATGGAATCAGTGCATACAGCACTACAGCTAATGAAGAAAAATTGCTTGTTGGCATCTATCGATCTTCGGGATGCTTACTATTCAGTTCCTATTTCTGCTCAGCATCAGAAATACAGTGGCGTCGCCAGCCTGACGATTTAGTCATGCTATGCAAATTTTACGTTATTATCATTATTCATTTCTTTACAAATTTATTGTTTTCACAGTCAATGAATACCAAAATATTAGCATAGCATGACTAAATTGTCGGGCTGGCTACGCCACTGCAGAAATATATTAAGTTTAACTGGAAAGGGCATATTTACCAATTTACTTGCTTGCCAAATGGGCTGGCATGTGCCCCCCGCATTTTTACTAAAATTCTGAAGCCAGTATATGCTACATTAAGGGAAAAAGGGCATATCATATTTGGTTATATCGATGACTCCTATCTCCAAAGAGATGATTATTTAGAATGCAAACAAAATGTTCAAGACTCCACAATAATGTTTGAGAAACTTGGATTTATTCCTCATGAGGATAAATCTGTTACTACACCTAGCCAACAACTTGTTTTGTTAGGGCATGTGCTTGACTCTGTGAGTATGTCTGTGTCATTGACACCAGAACGAGCATGCAAATTAAAACTAGCATGTGAAAAGCTTTACAGAATGCAAAGGCCTACTATTCAAGAGGTGGCCCATGTTGTAGGCTTAATGGTGGCCAGCTTTTTAGCTGTACCCTATGCCCAACTTTACTACCGTACACTAGAGATAGATAAGTGTGAAGCCCTGCGTTCTAATAGCGGGAACTTTAAGGCAAAAATGGTGATTTGACATCAAGCCAGAGATGATTTGCTTTGGTGGGTGAAATCTATTGAAGGGTGTAAAAAACCCATCTCTCAGGGCAACCCTAACATATTCATTTACTCAGATGCCTCCCTTAAAGGTTGGGGGGCACACTATGTTAACCAAACAACAGGTGGGCGATGGAGTATGGTGGAATCAGCATACCATATCAATCAGCTGGAGATGCTAGCTGCTTTTTATGCCCTAAAATCATTTTCAGATAAACTAGAAAATATTCATGTTGGACTGAAAATTGACAATGTTACTGCAGTTGCTTATATTAATAATATGGGTGGCAGCCACTCCAAACCTTGTAATACTCTGGCTAGGCAGATTTGGTTATGGTGCATGGACAGAAACATTTGGCTTACTGCTTCACATGTACCTGGGGTGTTGAACAAACTGGCTGATAAAGCCTCCGGAGAGTTCAATGACACAACTGAATGGACTCTTGACCCCCAGATATTTGCTAGTATAACCAAAGCATTTTTTACACCTGAGGTAGACCTGTTTGCCTCAAGGCTCAACCACAAAGTTGAGAAATACATAGCCTGGAGACCTGACCCACAGGCTTAGGCAATTGATGCTTTAGCCCAGAATTGGTCTAACTTGAGGTTTTATGCCTTTCCTCCCTTTAGCTTGATCAGCAGAATACTGCACAAGATGGAGGAAGAGTCAGCAGAGGGGATCCTGGTGATCCCTTATTGGACTACTCAGGCATGGTTTCCTCAGGCAATGAGAATGCTGGTTGCAAAACCCCGGATCCTACCAAACAAGGACAAAGTTGTGTACCTTCCTTTCGACCCCAACAGAAAACACCCACTACAGGGAAAAATGAAGTTAATAGCTTGCCATTTATCAGGCAATGCTACCAAAAGCAAGGAGTTTCTGAACGCTCAGCAAATTTGCTCATCAGTGCCTGGCGGAATGGCACACAAAAACAATATAAAGTCTACCTTAAAAGATGGAGACAATATTGCTGTGCAAGGCAGATTGATCCAATTTGCCCCCCTTTAGGTGAAGCTTTAGATTTCCTCACACAGCTGTTTGATGAAGGAAAGCAATACAGTGCGATAAACACAGCCAGATCAGCATTGTCATCAATTCTGATTTTACCTTGCAAGACACCCTTTGGAAAACATCCACTCGTTTGTAGGTTGTTAAAAGGCATCTTCCAACAACGACCAGCACTACCGCGCTATATAGACACATGGGATGTGGGAATGGTGTTCAACTATCTGAGGACATTGCCAAGTCTGGAAGAGATTTCACTTAAACAGCTTACACAAAAGCTAACAATGTTAATTATGTTGCTATCTGGACAAAGAATTCAAACACTAGCATTGCTTGATATCAATAGTATAAACATCACAGATTCCTGTTGCACTTTTTACATAAACAAATGTGTCAAACAAACTAAGCCAGGAAACCACTTAGGACCAATTGAGATACCAGCTTATCCACAAGAAATGAGCCTATGCATAAGGGCACTTCTGATTAAGTACCTGGATATGACAAAGGGAAGACGTGGTGAAGAGTCCAGACTGTTGATTAGTTTTCAAAAACCGTTCAAGGCAGTCACAGTGGATACTTTGAGTCGTTGGATTAAGAGTATTATGGCTTAATCTGGAATAGATGTTCAAAGATTTAAACCTTACAGTGGTCGTGCTGCATCTACCTCAGCTGCTAAAGCAGCCGATGTGCCAATTGACACAATACTGGCAGCAGCTGGTTGGTCGAGAGAAACCACATTTGCAAAATTCTATAACAAATCAATCCAACAACCTGGACTTTTTGGACAGTCTATATTAGCAGCAAATTTGTAGCTACTAACTTGTTGTGTTTATTAGTTGTTGATGTTAAGGATATTATATATTAATATATACACCAAATGGTGTACACCTTGTATTGAGTTCTTTCATCACCTAACCACTGGGCTTTAAATTCTCCATGTGACCCCTTGTGACAGGTTATGACAAGGAGGTAGAATTAGAAAATTAAACGAAACTTACCTGTAAGTTGAAGTTTGATGGGAATTCTACCGACTTGTCATACCGGAACAAGGGGTCACACCCAACCCAATATGCAACATTGTCAGCCCCACCCATTAACGGTGTGCGTTGAAGACTGAAGGTTGGCTATCTCACGTGATCTCCATGTGACCCCTTGTTCCGGTATGACAAGTCGGTAGAATTCCCATCAAACTTCAACTTACAGGTAAGTTTCGTTTAATTTTCTAATTTTCATTTTTTAGAAGGCGAATGCAAATGCAATTTTCAAGAGCAAAGAGTAGATGGTTTTGCCTACGGTGACATGTCCGACCCAGTATCATGGACGAAGCCAAATATTTCATGCACACATAAGTGTCAACTTCATCAACTCAAAGTGGTACCAAGCCTAAGATCACCACGCAGCTTATTCCCTGTGGGTTTAAAAAAAATCGAGTATGTATTCAAACTTTATGGAGGACTGGAGAAATCATGTACAATTATGGTCTATATTCACTCCTTTGATTCTAAAAGTGAGTATTACTTGTCTAATTCTCTCCTATCATTCCTAATTACCCATAGGGATGAAACGTCTATTTGAATAAACATGCAACGACAAGAAAAGAAAGAGTTTGTGCAATTTTCTTTTGCATCATGTAATGCGATTATATAACAAAACGACAAAATGTTAGAAGCTGGCGAGAAATGTTCGTAGCTATATTTCAACTTTAGAATTGCATTGCAAAGTGCAAGGGAAATTGCTTAGTGTAAAACCGCGCCTTAAATGGAAAGATATGATCAAATTCTCGATCGTATTTTTTTAAATAACGATTTTGTTGTTTGTTCAGCATGTATACCATCCCTGTCTCAAATTCATGCAAAGTTTGTATTTTAATAATTTTAATTTGTTTTAGAAATCGAAGAGGTGAGCAAGAAAAATAACCAAACAAAAGGTAGAAAACTATCCCAAATTCTAAAATAACATATTAAATACATTTAGATTCTCTCTGATGAATTACTGTAATCGCGTGACCAATCTTCTTATTACACTATTGCGGTCTGTGCTGATTGCAAGAAACATAGTTTGCCTAATTTTAGGGACGTTTGACCAGAACCATCGAAATAACGTTTCTGACACCAAGAGAATTCGAAATTAACGCCTATATTCTAAAAGCTCACTCACACTCAAACTTATTGAATGGGAGTTCTTAATCTTCTCATAACGTTTCAATGGCGGTATTTCAAGCCGAATAGGAGCTTGATTTTCAGTGATTTACCTTATATCTTTCCATCTATTCAGAGAAAACTTTTTCATTGATCAGCATTAACAAAATTTATATGTCACACTCAGTGAGTGTGAGTGTGAGTGAGCTTTTTGAATACAGGCGTAAAACAATACAGTAACTTTGGAAAAACGTATAGATGTATTATTTGGTTGAAATAATTTAATTGCACAGCCTTCTACAACCTGCACTGGTGTGCAGTTTTAACCTTCAGAGCGTACAGTGACTCTAGAATAATTGCCATTATTTTAATATATACGATCTCCGTTTTGATTAGTTAGGCAATAGGCACCTGCAAAATTTATAATGCGTGACATCAATCTACCTTTTTTCGAATTGTGACGTCATATCTACCTTTAACAGTTTCTACAATAGTTGACGCTAGCAATTTAATAGCCGGTTTAAAAAAACAATGGTAATAAAATGCATATTAATTAAAAATATAATTCATCACTATTTTGGTAAGTCGAGATAAAAAATAAAGAAATTATTGTATTCGTTTTTCGCGTGATAATGATTATCAAGGCATCTGTTGACATGATATGCCTAGATAATTCTCAATATCACGCTGAATCCCATCGAAAAAAAAAATTTGTCTGCATGAATCATGCTTAGTTGCGTTTATTTAGACTTTAATTTATTACAATTACAACGATGTCTACATCCACTATATTTTCGGCACCTGGTTGTTTTTTCTTCATGATCTTATAATGTCACCGATAATGATGATCTTTGGAAATATGTAATGATTCTACGATGTCAGAAGATGTTGACAAAGACTGCCCCAGCGCTCTGCACCTTGCGAGTGATTTTACCCTGTGCATTCCGATCACAAACGACCTTAAATGAATTTACATACAAGGAACATCCGGAAAACTCTTCTATACTTTTTAAGACAACACAAACGGGCTAACGTTCAACAAAAGACGTTCTTCTGTTTTATACCACACGTATCCTGCCCGTTATTGAATATGTCTGTGAGGCTTTTCCCCGATTCTGTTCCAAAATACTTATCTGACGAACTGGAAGGACTTGAAAAACGGCCTGCAGAACTGATTATTTTGCCAAAACTCCGATATAAGGATGCTTTGGAAGAGTTAGTATTTAGAACATTCGCTGTATGGAGACATAATTTCACTAGTAAACTTTTGAAAACTATAACTAACGATTTTGAGAAAAAAAATATACCATCTATTGCCTCCAGTTAAAGTCCTCAGAAGCAGGTTTGAGAGAGAAAAGGGAGTTTCAAATTATCAAGATTTAAAAACGATTTTATTATTTGTACAGGGGGTGGTAAAAAAGTGCCCCCCAACGAAATGTGGCACATTTGTAACTTTTCACTATAAATGAGGGTAGCGCCAATGAATTTTATGTATTTTTGCATATTTCATTAGTTTAGGAGCAATGGAAATTAGCATAAGTAATAGTATAATTTCTAGTGCAATTATGGATTAACAAGCAAGAGTTTTTTTTTAAAGGCTGCAAAATAGCGTGAGTCCGAAGGATGAGCGTTATGAAAATTTTGCAGTCTTGAAAAAGTCACGAGTGCGTGTTTATCCGTAATTGCGCGAGAAATTATACTATTACGTATTAATGATATGCAAGGAAATCTTGGAGAATATATTTGTAACATACTTTTTATGGGGGGCTACTTTTTTACCATGCACCCCTGCAATTCGTGTAATTTTTTAAGTCTACCCACGCAGCTGATTTTACTGTATAATAAAAAAGTGGGTTTTAAAAGTCCCACATGAACGATGAATTAAAGAATTATCGCTTATGTGCCGCTCAATATGATCGTTTTCACAATTATACGGATTAGCCAATAAAACACCCCAATTAAATAATAAACTCAATTGATTATACTCTAACCTATACAGCGAAGCGCTAACACGCCTTTGCTTATTGGCCCATTAAATTGACTTTGCATGACGACGGACGAGCCTATAACGCGATAATGAACCAATGTATGCTATGTAGTTTCAGATTGCAAAAAAGATATTCTGGTTCTCTGGAACAATTCCAATTTTGTTGACTTTGACCCAAATATAAAAGAATTCCTAAAGAAGTTTATTAAAAATAAAAAACTGGACGTGAAGAGACGAGGCACTCATCTTGGTTTTATCAGCTTTTCGAACTCCAAAGGATCGAACCAGAGAAGTACTGAAAATTGGAAAAATTAAGAATAGGAAGGAGTTGATAAAGTGGCTGGATAGCTCTCAGTATGATTGGAAAAGCAATGCGACAAAAAAGAGAAACGCATATGAGCTTGCTATCAATGTAAGTGAATCGTATTTAAAATTTTCTATAACGACTTTAGTTCTTGCCACTCGGTGGCAAGAGCATTACACTGGCATCGCAAAAGCGTATATAGGTTTGCTTCTAGCCGGAGGACCAATAGTTGACTCATTTTCCATCAATTGTTCCTGGCTTGAATACGAAGTGTGTATAATTCAACTCGATTTTAAGACTCTTTCAAGCTCTAGACATTCAAACTTGGTTACAGCTGTATGCCAAACATGAATATTATCTCGGGTCACACGAAATCAATGTTAAGCAGAGGTGGATCTAACAACGCGCCAGATAAGCCCACCAACGACAAGTCTCCAAAGCAATGTAATTGTAGAAACAAAAAGGCTTGTCCCCTTTCCGGCAAATGCCTATATAACACAAAGCGTTATCGTTTATCAAGCAACCAGAACTTAGAACACGTTTTAGCTGCCATACTATATAGTTCCTTCAAGTTACGGCAAATATCTGTGTGACATATGAGAAATTCATAATAATTTATCACCCTGAATTTAAACTCGTGAACTGAACTTCTGTCGAAATGTAGACATGCAACAAATTGCTACTTACCAGTGTAACATATATAGTAAAATATAGCTTGAATTACTGCATATAATATACGAATTTATTCACTAATTTTTTTCGAGTGCTTATCACACTCAGATTTTTATTTAAAATGTTTTTTAGCAATACATGTCCTTGCAATAGCGTTTTTATTAAGCTATTTCGAATTGAAAATTAAACCTTTTAATTTATCCTGCCTAACGCTAGATCCGCGGCCGCCACTAATGTCACTGTTTATTGATCATTACTAAGATAACAAAAAAATCGAATGTATAAATTCTTTTTCATAGACGTTGACCAACAGCAGCCGCAAAAATTTCCGTGCTAACGTCGACGATGTCATTTTGTTGTTAATGTTAAACAATGGAACGGAGAATAGCTTAAGAATTCAAGCTAGGGTTTTTGATAAATTAATGACACAGAAGAACGAAACAGTCACCATTGTCGGCTTATCTGGTGGCATTGTAACTCAGCTCAAAGACTGGAAACTTTACCTTAAACGCTGGTCGTTCCAACAGCTAGTGGCAAAATCAGTAATAACGAGCAGCTTGGACGAAGTGGTAAATAAAACCGTCGATGCTTTATGCGCTTCATTTATAGGTAAGTCTTGGTGAGGATTTTGGTTATGTGAAAACAAACTAAGTGGCACCGGATTTCACATTTATCTCACTTTGCATTTAACTTTTGCATATGCATTGCCTGCGAGTCAGTTAAAACGAGCCGACAGAGTCAGCGTTCCAGTCTTATTTGAGTTCACTGTTCCGCACAACACTAAATGTATGACGTAAGTCTGAATAATTTACGATTTTTGTCACATGTACACATAAGTAATTCTCCATACAGGTCTTAATAATTTGTAATTCATATATTAACCTTGATGCAACTCTTCTTAATTAGTATTCATAACTTTGTTACACACATGCCTTAATAATATGCATTAAGCTTACAAGTACGGTAAAATACTCGCGACCGACCTGTAGCGGTATTGACACTGGCGAGTGCGAAACACATTTTAACAGATCTGGGTTTTTTTAAGGAAATAATTACACATTTTTTGAATGTGGTTTTCGCAATGATACTAAAATGATCACCAATTTTCTTTTTCCATTAGGTGGATGTGAATGTATCGGTGATAAAGAAATAACTGTGTATGCTCAACCAGGTTCACCCACAGGATTAGCCAGTTGGACAGTCCCGGAAGTCACATGTTCTGGTTATGAGAGAGGCGAAGTTGACCCACCTGGTGTCACGTCTCCTAAGCATTATCCTCTTGGAAAGAGCACAATTACTTATTCGTACTGGTCCATGCGTGATGGCAAGATTGCTGGGCTTAAATGTTTTGTCAACATTAACGTTGTTCGTAAGTATTTTATGATAATGTGCTCTCGAGTATATTATTTTGAGACACAATTAAAACACTATAAAATAAATGTGTGTTTCTGCATGGGCTTCTAGAAATGAAATTCTTTGATTTTCAGTCTATTTTATATGAATAAAACACTGAACAGCAAAATAACTGCAGTATATGATAATCAGAAAGGACTAGATTTCAGAACATAAAAAGTGCGTTTTCCATGCAAACTAAAACCAAAGATGTATTATTGTCCATCCGAAAATCAATTGAAATCGAGAATTGCGCAATTAGATGCCGGAGTCTTTGAGAAAACTCAAAATATAAGTTAAAAAACAAGAATAAATAAAAAATAATGCATGGATGCGCGGAAATATGGAATTTATTTCGAGTGTTGAGAATAATATCGAACGAGTTTCGAACTAATATCGAACGAGCAATTCTGTTTATTATATAATAAAAAACTGTTCTTTTGAAAGGTTTTTAATCCTACTTCCTAACTCCAGATCGGTGGATCAAACACGATAATCGCACTTGTGTTATTATCATGAATAATCGCACAAGTGTTATGATCGCTTTTCAAAATGTTTGTTAACTTTCCAATGTATGAAGAATACAAGACGCCTACTAGGCGTTATATGATCGCGTCGTTCACAGCGGCGTAGCCAGCCCAGCTATGCAAATTTTGTGTCGTAAATGTTCTTAATAATAAAAATGAACAATATACCGAACTATAGTCGCATGTTGAAAGCAGGAGAAACACAAAACAGCCCATTTCGAAACTGCTTGAAATCCTTTAGTGCAGGCTTACTCTGCTCGGCGTGTGCAGTTAGTTGTATGTGTAATGAGTGTAAAGATAAAGATAACACTTGCTAGCATTTTGATCGCTTTATTGATTCTACTTTACTGCTTCGAAGTTCGAAGGTGAAACGAAATATGCCCAAAGTGAATACAACACGTGATATAACCAGTGAACTCTAAAAAGACTGGAACGATAACTTGGCCGCCATCTTTGAAGCCAGCACTGATGGCCGCCATGAAGGTCAAGGGTTGAAATTACACCACCAAAACAACGCCGGTTTTTATACACAAATCCATCTCATCTGATCATGAATAAAAGCTTAAAACAAGCATTGATACTTAGATTTTACTAAAAAACAAGTTTTATGAACGTGAAAAGGTGCAAACCTATTTTTTTTGCGAGTTGAAGGCGACGTTTTTTTCCGGCCCGTTCAAATTCTTTAAATATTTCAAGTACAAAGCTGGTACCTCGCCGGTTTTTACAGTAGGATGATGCGGATTACTTAGGTCTATCCAAAAAGGGTAAATTCGTTGTTTAAAGTTGAAGTGGTCAAATAAAAATTGCACTTTTCTGGCAATTTTTTGACAAAAAATACTATTTTTACGGAAATCTCACTCACCCCAGTTCTTTTGAAGGCTTGATTTGCTCGCGCGGCTCCCGCCTTAATCAGCAAATTATATTCAAATCGGCTTCATCCAATGACTAGTCTTTATTGTTGAGTTATCGTTCCAGTCTTATTAGAGTTCACTCGGGATATAACTAGCAACTTACCTGTGCGCAGGTTCCCGATTAGGGTGATATGGCCTGCAGCTAGCGACGCTGGGGGTCGACCCGAGAGGAAAAAAACAAACAAAAAAAACCCAAGCCGAAGCTATAAATCGCTGTCGCTACGCGACGCGATCAATAATCATCCGCACGTGTCATCTTCGAGCCCCGATTGAGCATGAAACACCACAGCTAGGTCGGTAGAGTGTTCATTTCTGTAATTGACATATGCATGGAGCACCTATGGCAAATGGAAATTTTGTTCTTGAGTGATTTGTTACAGGAAATGGGAGAAGAATTGCTACTCTAAAAGTCTGAAGAAGTTTTCCATATCATTCTTGCGTTATAAAACTAACAAAATTCCAAATCCTTATGCACTCCTCGAGTGCCTATTTTTTTGAAAAGAAATTAAAGATTAATTTGTAATATATTTGATGTTCCACAACAAATTTGATTTCTACATCCAGCCTGTGAGTGTCCATGTTTGCTAACCGTGAAAAAAGTTGCAGAAAATAGGAAATTGGCTTTCGTCAGTTGGCCAGAGCCCAAACCCAATTGTCCCACCACACCAAGCTCAGGCAACATAAACACAACCAGTGCATGGTTCCCTGTGGGTAATCACACGCTGGAATACAATTACACGTACAGCAGCAACCACACAGAATTTGGTATTGAATGCGATGTGGAAATTGACGTCACACCTGGTATGTTTGTTGCAAGTACGTCACCCACCCTCAAGCAGTCATCCACAATCAAGCAGAATAGTGAATCTAGTAAGTAAATAACGGTATCTATAATAGAACGAATGAGAGTGCTATTAATAGCAAAATCAGGACCGCGTAGGTTGATTTGTTAATCACGAGGATGATTTTGCCATTAATTGCACGATTTAATTCATTCGATTACTTATTATAAGTAATATCATTACATGAGGGAAATTAGTGATTAAATGCCCCGAAGGCGAGGGAGGTTTGTGTAATTACACAAACCTCCAGAGCCTGAGGGGGCATTTAATCACTAATAACCCACTAATCCTCGTGTGATTACATGTGAAAATTGCTCCGTGATTTTACAATACTAAAGTCGAAGATCGAGTTATAATACTTCGAATTACTTATTGGATATACTGGAATTAATCCGAAAGGCTTAGGAACTTGCCTAATGTATGGCGACACCTTTGGGTAAAAATCTGAGCCTTGCTTGGAAGGGAGATTTCGATTTGCTAAAACAATTTGTTAGCGAAAACCTAGACCTTCAAGGGTCTTGGTCTCAGCCGGGTGGCGACAAGAAGGTGTTCACTTCTACAAATTTAAAGATCACATGGCGAAAGAACAGGAGCTTGCTGTTTTTAGACGGAGAGAAAGCGGCTGATATTACGACCTCGCTTTGCAAATTTATTTGTTGTAATACTGGAGGAGTCCCCGATGCAAATCAGTGCCATCTGCTGTCAACCGAATCGGCCGATGTCGAAGCAGAAATCGAGAACATTAGACTCAGCCAATTGGTAAACAGTGAAGCAATACAAGCATTGTCAAACTCAATGGTCCACGTAACGTCTTTGATTTCCCGGTACGAAGGTTTTTTGGATAAGAGTAAAATCTGCCCCGGTGATGCAAATCTGGGATCTCAAGTTAGCATAACGAATGAGTACTTGGAATACGGAAACCACGCCAACACGACAATTAATAGTGATGATTCTATCGTCTTAGACAAAGTTCCTAATCCTCCTGCGTCTGACGAGATCAATCGGAACGAATCCATTCAATTGTTGATTCAAAATGCTGAAGAAAGCACCTTAATCCCAGTCGATCATCACAAGAGTAACCCTAATCAATCGGGTGAATCAACTGAGTGCCACGTCCTAGCCGGTGCGCCCTCTGTAAAGAAACCACTTCCGACGACATATGCTAGTGTCGTAGCCTCGAAAGCTCCTCCTAGTAATATCAATAAAAGTATTGCGGAAACCAAAAGAACCCCGGATAAACTATCCCGTAACGTCGGCGAGTCCCCTGACGGATTTATCGGAGTAAAACGTAAACGTTATAGTTCAAAGAAATTCTTTCTCAGTGGGATTGCCGAGAATGTTAGCAAAACTCAAATAGTTTCTTATTTCGAAGAAAGAAATGTAATTCCCACTTACATTTCAGTTTTCCCCAGCCGACGTAGAGGAACACTATCGTGTAAAATTCATATACCCTTAGCTTCTTGCCCCCTGGTTGATCAAGAAAATTTCTGGCCCAAATATGTCAAATGTAAACTGTGGCGACCAAGCGAGCACAGTAAGCAAACGCCTGATCGGAGAGTTAGCGCGACCCAACATGGGAACCTTTCAACATACGTATAAATGGCTTATCCAATTCCAGTCCGAATTCGTTCCCGTTATCGTAATGACATACCGTGGCAGAAGCGGCGTAGAGTTTCCACACCTACTAACCTAATTAGGGTAAAGATTTCAAAACCTGAACCTGCTATGTTTGTGCCGGGTCTCGTCTTATCTAATGTCATGTCGTTAACACCAAAAATAGATGAAATCCGTCCATTTGTTGCCAACTCTGGATCGGAAGTTGCTGTCTTTACTGAGACATGGCTCAAAAGTTCTATACCAGATTCTATCGTGGATATTCCGGGATATAGAATATTTCGAAAAGATAGACATGAAAGAATGCATGGAGGAGTCTGTGTATATGTTAAAAATGAAATCAAAGTTTCTGTTTTGCATGAGTTGGAAAATCCACAATTCGAAGTGCTTTGGGTACAGCTAATACCTCGGAGATTACCACGTGGTTTATCCTCAATTGTCGTAGGAGCGCTATACCATCCCCCAAGTTCAGACGATAAATCCATACTAAAATATCTTGTTGATAGCCTGATTAATGTTGAAGCATTGTATAAGAACTGTGGAATTATTATTATGGGAGATTTTAATCAGTTGAAAATCACAAGCATATCGAGACAGTTTAAGTTAAAACAACTGGTAAAGTTTGCAACTAGAGGACCAAGAACTTTAGATATGATACTAACTAACATATCTCATTTTTTCGACAATGCTAAGAAACATCCATCTTTTGGCTTATCTGATCACCTCACAATTTCTGTTGCTCCAAAAGTCAGAGAATCCTCTGGCAATAAATCGAAAACGATTAAAATACGTGACACCAGGCGTAGTAACAAAAGAGCCTTGGGAAATGTTCTCTCACAAGTGGACTGGTCGTGTCTCGATCGAATTGATTCCTGTGAAGAGAATCTGATGTTCTTTAATACAATGGTATCCAACACCCTAAATTTAATAATGCCAGTCAAAGAGAAAAAAATTCACAACAACGATGCTCCCTGGATGTCTAGTAAACTCAAACAAGCAATCAAGAACCGTCAACGAGCCCTTAAAAACGGAGATACAAGGTGCTTTAATTACTATCGCAATTTAGTAAATTCTGTACGGAAAAAATGCAGATCCTCGTATTATAACAATAAGATCAAGAATCTTAAACATTGCAAACCTAAAGATTGGTGGAATGCGATTAAGAAAATCAGTGGTATGGTCCCTGTAAGTAAACCTGATCTCTTGTCCACCTTGCAAGTAGACGAGTTAGAACACTTGACTAATACTCAAATCGCCAACAAAATCAATAATAGTTTTCTTGAACCTCTCCAAGAATTTCAGCCTCTGGGGGGTATGGATCCAACTTTCGATGCAACCTCAAATGTTATTACGGTTACTGATCTTGA